CCCCACTTGCAAGAGATAGTATTTATATGCACGATAATTTTTAACTGGGATTAATGAAAGGCTTTGTAGAAAAAAAGATTTCATGATTGCTGGAAGTTAAAAAAAATTCCATCCTATATTCTCTGTGAACAAGATAATAAACTAAAAATAGTATTTAAAACATCAGTTATTCAGGGACACCTGGTGGCTCAGTCAGTTGAGCGTCTGTCTGCCTTTGGCTCAGGTCATGATCCCGGGGTCCTGGGATCGAGCCCCCAAGGGGGGGGGGCCCTGCTCAGCGGGGAGCCTGCTCCTCCCTCTCCCACTGCCGCTCTCCCTGCTTGTGCTCGCTCACTCTCTGTCAAATAAATAAATACAGACTTTAAAAATAAATACAATAAAACATCAGTTATTCAGTAGTAACATTTTTTATTAGATGGGTAGTAACAATTTATTCAGACTTGTAAGTGGTGAGAATTATGGGAGAAAGCAGCCCACCTAACTCACTGAGGCTGGGTTTGTGTCTTCATTGTTTCATCCCCAAAGCTCTGCAGAGCAGCGGATGGGTGAGTGGGTTCACGGAAGGTGTATGCCTGGGAGTGTTGAATGAATAAATTAAAAAAAAAATCTTTAAAAAATAGCTATTATTTTGGGCATTTGAACTTCGTGGTAAACAAGTTAAAATGTTTGAAATGAATTATAATTTTTCTTAAAAATACTTTTTTTTTTTTAAGATTTTATTTATTTATTTGACAGAAATCACAAGTAGGCAGAGAGGCAGGCAGAGAGAGAGGAGGAAGCAGGCTCCCCGCTGAGCAGAAAGCCCGATGTGGGGCTTGAACCCAGAACCTGGGATCATGACCTGAGCCGAAGGCAGTGGCTTAACCCACTGAGCCACCCAGGCGCCCTTAAAAATACTTTTAAATTCCTTTTAAGTTCCTGAAGAAGTCTCTTGGCTCAAATTACCTAGTTAACTATAAGTTTATCTTTAGGTTTTATATTTGAATACTGGTCACTGATCTTTTTCAAGAGAAAAATCTTTTTTTTTTTTTTTTTTTTTAAACGGAAGCTTTGATTTGAGAAAACTCTTTAGGGACATGAATTATTTTGTAACATAACTTTAATGACTGAGCAAGGCAGTGTGAGGAAACTGCTTTCCCTGTATTTTCTGAAGAATCAGTAAACATTCGGAAGCAATTCCTGATGAAAAGAGCGAGCTGTATTGGCTTTATGTGGGAGGCAGCTTTTGTTGAAATGCAGTAAATTCATGTCAGTTGTACTTGAAAATCTAGGACCAGGAACTAATGTTTAGTAGAATTTGTTAGAATTGTAAGCTCCCTCCCCCCAGCTTTGAAAATTGATGGTGAATTTATTCAAGCTCCTATTCATGCCTTTATGCTTGTTGTAAAATAATAACGTGTGTTATTTATAAAGCAATCCTGGGGTGCCTGGCCGGCAACGTCAGTGGAGCATGTGATTCTCGATCTCAGGGTGGTGAGTTCACTCTTGTTGGGCATAGAGCTTACTTTATTTTTCTATTTTTATTTTTATTTTTTTAAGTAGGCTCCATGCCCAGCGTAGAACCCAACACAGGGCATGAACTCATGCCCTGAGCTGAGATCAAGAATCAGATGCTCAACCAACTGAGCCGGCCAGGCACCCTGTGCGGAGCTTACTTTAAAATAAAAATAAATAAATGAAAAGCAGCCCAGGTTGATCTTATTCAAGGTACCAAATCGTTTTCAAGGTAGTGATAAGATAAAAGAAGTGGGTAGAGAGAGAAGGTAAGAAAAGGAAAGTTTGTTTCTCTGTTATATCTAAATGAGGATGATTATTTAGAAAGTTTTTTCAAGATATTAAAAAATAAAATAATGACTTAATAGTACACAGATACTTTCAGGAACTTGAACTCATCAGTTATGTGGCTCCTCTTGGTGTAACTTCAACTTGTAATATTTGTCTTGTGCCCCACATAGCTATAACTCACTCACGTCCTACATCGGAACGGCTGTTTCTTTTGTCTTCTTTCATGAAATCAGCTCTACTGATGTGTGTTTGCATACAGTGACATTTACTAATTTTTAGCATGCAGTTTTAGTTATGACAAATGAATGTATTTGAACCACCACTGTAACGATCATGTTGTGGGGCATTTCTGTTACCCAGAGAGTGTCCTTGTGTCCCTTTGGAGTTAACCTCCTCTCCCACCCCGGCTCCTGGGTCTCCATTCTGTCTGGTGGCTGTTTCTAGCATTTCCTCTGATGTGGATCACACGCTAGGTGGTCCTCTGTCTTTCTTGAACTTAGCATAGTGCCCTAGAGACGCAGCCGCGGGGCCTGCTCGTCGGTGCTTCACTTCTTCTCATTGCTCAGTAGCGTTCCACGGTGCGCGTGTGTCACAGTTTGTCCGCTCACCACTGGACGGCTGTCGGGACCGTTGCCACCGCCTGCTGGCGTAAATAAGGCCGCCGTGAACGTTTGAGCGCAAGCCTTTGTGTGCACATGCGTGTAGAAACCTAGCGGTCGGGGCTTCACTCATGTCAGTCTCTGTCTCATGGTTTTGGGAGGGAAGACAGAAAAACCTTATACAGACCAGAAGATAAAATTTGTCCTAGAGAAAGAGCTGAATTGTTAGCTGTTACTCTCTTATTCTTCACACCTTTGTTACAGTCCTTATCTTCTCCCTTTCCCGAAAAAAGCTACTACCTTTGATCTTCTCTATAAAACCTCTTCTTAAATGGTATTCCTGATTTAAAACTTGCTTGGAAAAATAAGCTGAATTTTAGATGGGCTTGTTGAACCGTGGCTATTTTACAGTACTTCTGTCTCCGACCCCTTTGTATCTCTACCTCATACTAAGTTTTATTTTTTGGAGCCTTTTTTATTTCTTTCTACAGCACCTCCTCTCTGAGAGTTGGGAGCTACGTAGTATGGTCCCAGAAGGGTCTACATAAGAAGCTACAGGTAAAGGCTTATGACATTTTATGTATATATGCATATATACATATATATATATATATATATATATATATATATATATATATATATATGATGGGGTTTGCTGGAAATTCAGCTGCAGGCTCTGTTGGTCTGACTTCATGACTAATGAAGCGTAATATTTGCTAACAAATGTATGTTATAATCTCCTCGGCGCTGTGGCTCAGAGTCCGTTTAGAATCAAGGGATGCCTGAAAACTCGCTTCGTGCCCTCCCAGATGCATATGTATATATACAAATGTCCACAGACACATTCCATGCTGCTTTTTTTTTTTTTTTTTTAAGATTTATTTATTTGGGAGTGGGCAGAGAAGGAGAATCTCAAGCAGACTTTACACTGAGCACTCGTGACCCCAAGATCATGACCCAGGCCCAAACCAGGAGTCAGATGCTCAATGGACTGAGCCACCCACGTTCCCCTCACATCCCATATTTCTTAAATTAGGAATTTGGGCTTCAAAATTGATTTAAATTTTAGGTTTGAGTTATCATCTTTCACAAGGTGGATTATTCTGAATCTTTTATTAAAAGGGCATCAACCTGCAGCATTCAGAGGCTAGAGTTTGAGTTGAGATCAGAGGAAGGTTTAGAAAGCTGTGCATACATCGGTGGACAGAGGATTTCCGAACGTGCTGCCTGAGAAAATGGTGTCAAACACAGGGATGGGCTTGGGATAAAGTACCTTTGCCTGTTTTGCCGTTAGGAATCTGTAAGGGCCTGTTAAGTGCCTTCTTTAAACAAGGTGGTGTTTGCTGTTGGGTTACAGAGATTAATCTGTTAGGGAGCCTGCCCCAGAGGAGGCCAAGCTCTGTAACAGAGCTGATCTGGAATTAGCTAAAGAACAGTAAATACTGTGCATGGGGCGCTTCGGCCTGATGGGAAGTATACTGACTGTGAGAGACTAAAATTCATCCCTTCTTCCCAGGTCATCTTTGCTCTGCCTTGACTTTCTAAATTTGCAGGTTTTCTACCCCTCCAATTCCTGCCTTCTTTGTTCGACTGTGAGCTAGTGATGCCTGCTATCATTCCACTCCTTTCCCAAGCAAACTGTTGTACGATCTCTCCCAACAGAGAGACTGCTGTTCTGTGCCTCTTGACAAGCGGGGGGGAGGGAGTATGGGTACAAGATGCGGACTGTCATACGGTAGTCAGCCGTGCTCCCATAGCTGTGAGTCTCACGAAGACCCACAGTAGGCGAGCTAGAGGACAGAGGAGAACTAAACCGAAGTGGAACGTGGAGGGAGAAATAGGCCAGGACACCGGGGAGGAAGGCGAGCGGGGTGTTAGCAGTGTGCTCGTGTGGGGCCGTTCTCACTTCTCATGTTCCCTCTCGCTGTTTTCTTTTCTCCTTCCTCTTTATTTTATGGCTTCACGCCACTACAGTGTTTGCATATTACCCATTTGGGGGCTGGCTAGCTTCTCCGTGATGAACGTGTTAGCTTGTCTTTCCAGGTGCTCTGTAGTCAATGTGTGCTTTGTCAGCGTTTTATTGGCATTATCGAGTTTTGTTTGTTTGGGGAGGGACATTTATTCTACTGTTTTCTTGCACATTATTGGTCTCTCATCTCCTCCATTGGTTCTGCTTTGTAAGCAGAAGTTAACTGATCGTGCAGTGTTCAGCGAGGAGGCATCCCTTCTGCTGTGTTCCCCGTTGAAGAGCAGTCGCTCGGTGGGAGAGGTCTGTTTCCCTCACCGTGCTGTGGTCTGGGGAAGGCCGCGGCAGGCTGGCAGGGTCGGGAGGAGGCGGACATGCACAGGGCTCAGATCCATGGAGTCAAACCTGTCATCAGTGTGGAACGGCACGTGTCGTGCAGCACTCAGCGTTGGATGTTTTAAACCCGAGCACTATGACAAGTCAGCACCTAGGTCATCAGATGACTTTGGATTGCTGTCGGATTGGACTTCGAGTATATGGAGATCAGATTGGGACAATGACCCACTTGATAGGTATTCAGAATCTTTAGAACATCAGCTTCAAGTATTTATTTTTCTCAGGTTTTATTTTCACATTTATAGAAAGTTACATTGATAATACAGATAATACAGATAATTCCCATATACCCCTTGGCAAGATTTGACCACTGTTAACCCTTTGCCACATTCACTCTTACTCTTTATCATATTATTTTTTCCGAACTGTGTGACCATAGGTAGTGTGCATGCTGTCCTTTTACCACGTCACATTTATATATTCTGACAAGGCCAGTCTTGGATTTTCAACGGTAGTTCAGTTACCGAGTAAAGGAAATTCAATACTGATCTGATAGAATTCTCTCCTCCAGTCCACTTTTGGATTTCTCTCTTTTTCCCGATATGTCCTTCCTTCATTGATTTTTCTCCAGTCCAGGATCCAGCCCAGAATCCCTTACTGGGTTTAGTTATTGTGCTTCTCTGTTCTCCCTGAGTCAGGACCGTTTGGCATTGTTTGAAGAGTGACCATTTCCTGACAGAGTCCCCTCAAGCTGGGCTTGTCCGGCGTATCCTTGTGACTCGGTTTAGGGGCCGTGGCATCGGCAGGGTTGTTCACTGGCGACGTGTGCTGCTCCGTGCGGCGCGTTGGCGGCAGCACGTCCACCTGTCCCGTTAGCGGTGATGCTCACTTTTGATCTTTCGGTTGAGGTGGTATCCGCCAGGTTCTTCTACTTAAAGCATAATTATTTTTCCTTTCATAATAAGCAGTGTGTGGGGAAGTAACTTGGAGACTCGGTGCACACGACTCCCTGTCAAGTCTGTGCCCGCAGTGGGTTTGACCTGGCCGCGGCCGTCGGTTTGAGCTGGTCATTGAAGTGGCACTTGAGGCTCAAGTACGGAACGGCGCAGGCTCCGTGCTCTGGAGGGCGTCTGCTCCGGCCGTTGGGTTCCTTCGCGTCAGAGAGGGTCTCGTGGTGAGCTGGAACCCGTCTTCCGAGACTTGCACGCGTGGCTGCAGACTCTGCTTTGTACCACGTGAGATAAGCCCGCTCCGTTTCCCTCTTGAGCGGTCCTTCAGAAAGCGTTCCTTTGGGGCTTTTCTCCAGGTTTCTCACAGTCCTATCTTGTGACAGAAGATCTTCCTGAACTTGTAGCCAGCCCGTTGGTTGCACGGTGGCCTTCATTCATTAGCGCCACCCTTCCCGTGGGGGCCACGTCCGGTTCCCGTTCTCAGTGTGGCTCATCAGGACGCGGGACCGCTGTTGCTGTTGCTGTGATCTTAGCTGATACCTGAAGCCCCAGGCTTCGGAGACCAGTATGTCTGGATGCAAGGCCTGTCTCTGCCTCTTAGCTCTGTGATTTTCAACAAGTTCCTAGCGTCGCGAGACTCCTCATGTTGCATAATCTGTACAGAGTTGGTAATCACTGCGCCCACCTCTTCAGATGGAATGAGGAGTAAGCATGCGTGTAAACCGTCAGGACGGGGCCTCCTGCACCGTGCTCAGCCATCAGACGTTTATTGCTGTCACTGTGCAGAGAGCAGACTCCGGTGGTACAGCCTGAGATTTGTTCCATCCTCGTTAGCGGCTGTGTTTGATGGTAGGCTCCCTCAGGAAGCTTAAGTTCTGCTGCAGCAGGGGGACACTCTGGAACACATGCTTCAGCTCGCGTGAAAGGTACTCTGTCAAGTAACAGCTCTCATGAGGCTTGAATTCCTAAGTCATTTCTTTGCACAGTATAAGGAGAATATAAACATGCCTCTTTTAGAGCAAAACAAATGTACAGTAGCTCATTTCAGTGTTAACTAATACTTTAAAAGTTAGCGAAATTTAAGAATTGGGATGTACTTCTCATGGTATTTCTAAATCGTGTTGCTATTATAAATAGTAAGTTTACTCTGTAAAGTGCTAAAGCATTTCCTAAAACTTTTTGTAGAAATTTGAGGCCCATGTGACACATGTAGGGGAAGTAGTTACCTGTGTATCCCAGGACATTCTGATCGGATGCAGTTCTGTTTTCCAGACAAGCCTTCTGACACTTGATCAGTCTGTAGCACTAATGGTACTATAGACATGTGAATCTGTGGGTAAGTGTGCTGTCAACGTTCATAGTAAATGTCGGAAAACCTGGCTTTTATTTCTGTCGGAACAGGACCAAGGATCTCATTCTCCCTACCCAGGAGGGTCCCAAGGGATATTGTTGGGGCCATTGAAGTCATTCCCATTGACTGTCTGGTCGTAACAGTCGTTCTTTAGTTCTGGCTGTTCATGCTAAATAAATTAAACTTTAGAGAAGCGGAAAAAGACCTAGTTTTGCTTATTTGGGGTATGAATGGCTATGTAGAAAATAATTTTTGCTCACCTCACCTGGGGCCAGGTGAAGAAGAATCTCTGGTAAAGTTACATATTGCTGTATTTTACGTTGGTGTCAAATAGCAAGTGAAATGTTTTTATTTCTTAATTTTATCTCAACAACCCTCTTTATGTAGCTATAATAGTGAAAGCACTCCTTAAAATTTTAGACAATTAAAATGTACACAGTCAATTTTAACTGTCTCAACTCTGTTTCATGTTAAATGTGTTACAGGAATGAATCTGAAGTCTGCTGCGGTAAAACACTGAAGGCTTTACAATGTTTTCTTGCATAAAACTCAGACTTTAAGTATCTGCTTATGAGGCTAGGGAAGGCAGGAGGCTAATGTGTGTCTCGAGATACAGGACAGCTGTTTGCCCATCGACCTCAACTGTGTGAGTAGACTTAACGCGCAGCCCCAGGTCGCTGGGGGTAGTTAAATCTAAGTGAAGAAACACTTAAGTCAGCATGATGACACGTTTCATAGGGTCTGTTTCTTTCTGGTGGGTAGGATACGGAGGGTGGAGTGGGTGGTAGATTTTTATAAAATATTTTTGAGAAAAACCGTAGCTAAGTATCATTTGTGACCATTAGTGACCATGCATCTTTTTTTTTTTTTAGAATTATTTTAAGCATTGGAATTTGCATTACTAATCTTACAGTGAAGCAAAAAGTTATAATTCTTAAGATTGCAGTTTGTTTTGTAGTTGGTTTCAGCCATTTTATATTACTATGTTTACCAGATAACCATAAAAATGTATTTTGGGAATATGATGTTACATAATAATGTAGGAAATTGCTCTTGGGAATAATTTCATAATTTAAATTACAGTTAAATTTCATAATTTTTAAATAGTTCTTTTGAACCAGAGAGAGCATATACTTCCAAATAAATAAACTCCTGTTCCCTAGATGCAGTTAGGACGTCTTTGAAACTTCCCAGCTTTTTGTGTTTTAAAACTGCTTTGATAATCTTAAGTACCTGTTGAAGAAAAAAATTCTTTTCTTTTTCTTTTAGTAAAAGTTACTGCTTTAGTAATCAACTTGAGGCCAGCAAGGGTGGGAGCTGATTTCCCCCCCCCATCTCCCCTGGTTGTGTTTTAATTTTTGTTTTGTTTATTTGTTTGTTTTTGTTTTGTATTGGGGTGTATTTTCCTACATGGATTTAGGAATAAGACTCTTGAATGGCTTCTCCCCTTAGAAGAACACATGGTGCATATAGGTGAGGTGATTAAAATACAAGACATTGATGTGAGCAAAGTGATGGGCATATAGATAAAACTTGACAAAATCTTACTAACTGTTCAGGGACACATGGAATGGAATGAATGGCATTTTCATGAAGATGAATTTACTTTCTTTTTCACATCACAAATGTCTTTCTTAGTGGAAGGAAAGTCACGGTTGACAGTCTTTAGGATCGGTGAATGAGAGGGCATTCAGGAAGCCCATAGGGAGTGCGCCCCGAGCGTGGCTGTTCTCGTGAAAGTGGTCAGGGGGCACAGGGCCGAGATAAGGGGTATGTGGCCACCTCTCAAAGCAGCGGAAAAGTCAAGGTTCCAGTGTGCGACTATCCAGGGGTTGTCTCGTTCCTGAGCCTTCAGTAGCTCTAAAGAAAAGCTCTTAGAATCTACTCGTGTCGTGGTGACTAAGGCCTGCAGTGTGAGCGTGAACTCTCCAGCTGGAGCCACGTGGCGCCTCACGGGCAGAACCAGGTGCTGCTGTTCTGTTCACGGCACTCCCGGCACGCTTCCCTCCCCTCTCTCCGGATAGTGCCAAAAGTGAAACTCGAGGTGCAGGGGGCCTGCAGAACCTATTAATGAAGCGTTGATTTTTAAGATGAGATCGGGCAGAAAGGACACACAGCAGGGAAGAGCAGCTTCTGCAGCCGTGGAGGGTTGAGAAGGGAAGTTGTGCGGTGGTCGATTGGCCCCAGGCTCTGGTGCTCCTTGCACGTCTCTGAGCCCCGCTCTCCGCGTGCTGTGTTCGTCTGGTGCCGCGCAGGTAGAGGACGGTGCTAAGAAATGAGTGAACCTGCTGGCCAGGAAGTGCCTGCTGGTGGCACATGCACGCGGCCCCCTAGAGCCTCGCGTCTGCCCTGCTCACCCTGCCCCCGCCCTGTCACCCTGTCACTGATCTGCTTGCACGTCTGTGACCGAGTGTCGTCCAGAGTCACTGCGTCCTGACTTGTGCTGCTGTCCTTTGCAGTGCACCTTAACCTGGAGGTGCTGGGCTGTGGAAGGCCATGTGACGCGGCGAGGACTCAGGCCGTGTGGGGTCGGGTCCCAACTCTGCCCTTGTCACGGCGTGTTTTTTTGGGCAAGTGATTTAAAGCCTTTCTGTGCCTTAGTGCCTGTAATCTGGAAGGCAGACATTCTCGTTTGGTGTGGGATCTTGAGTGCGCGAGTCATTAATACTAGGAAAATACTGTTACTACTGAACTTTTGTTTCTTCTTCCAGAAGAGGAACACCAAGTAGTATAGTCATCCTCAGAGAGTACATTTTAAAGGCTTCAGGACTGTTTGGAGACCATGAAGTGAGGTATCTTCAGGCCGGTCTGGCAGGAGCTGTTTCCCTGGTGGCAGAACAGGAATCTCTGCTCCAAGTCTCAGCAGCCGCAGGTGCTAGTGTGTTTTCTGGGTTGTGGATTTGAATGTACGTCGTGAAGTTACATTAAATGTGACATTTCTCGATGACACAAAACTCTTACTTGTCTGGAGCACAAAAATGGGCTCTTGCATCAGACTTAAGTCCACAAAGGAAGAGGAAAGGAAGCAAAAATGTTTCTTGAGAAATCTTGGTGAAGGTAAGGTATATTTCCTCCGGTTTTAGGTAAAGTGATTTTTAGGCAATTTATAAAAGTCCTTACAACATTTTTACAAACAGAGGAGCAGTGAGGGGGCCAAGCAGTGTTCGGAGTGTTGAGTTCTGTCCGTAGTGACCGCGGCATGGTGAAGCGAGCCGTCTCATGTGTAGGGGCCGTGCAGTGCTTTGTGATCTCGGAGCACCTTGAAGGGCGGTGGCGTGGTGGTACGTGAGTCTCAAGCGTCTCGGGAAGGACCGGCTGGCAGTTTTGTCGGGGACTTTTCTCTCTGTGGGACGATCCTCCCGACGGCTCAGAGTAGTCTGGATTTCAGCCTGATGATCACTCTGTATGTTTAGAAATAGTGCAGGAGCTCGGGGTGTTCCAGGAAGTAGAAACACGGTTCTGGGTGGTACAGACACACACTGTTCACTAGCTTCTCCTCAGGGAGCAGAACGCAGTTCGACAGATACCTGTTCTAACTAAAGACAGTCTAAAAGAATGAAAAACTTTATGGAATTGCGAGAAGTTTATGGCCTTGGTGTCTTTTTTATGTTGCAGTGTTCTGCCTCTTCCCCATCCCCACAGCTGACGTAGGGTTGGTTCGTGGAGTCAGGGGGTCAACCAGGTCTAGTTGGCTCGTCCGGAGGTGTTTCCCGTCGCACAAGCAGGACAGCAGGAGCTCGGAGCTGTGCGCAGTGCAGAGTGTATGAAAGGGGGGCGTCCACAGGGAGGCAGTGACTGGCCTGTCTAACTTCAGTTTCCTTAACTGATTGAAAAGCAGGGCTTGCAGGTGTGATCCCGTAACCTCCCTCGTATGGATACGGCGGGAACTGAAGGAGATACTTTACGTGAGGCCATAGCACAGGGCCTCGCGTATGGTGACAAGAGCTGGCATCTTCATTGAGGGCTTACGAGTACACATCTGAAGTGTGTAGCCTTCTGATCTGATTTTTTAATTTAGGGAACAACTTTGGAGAATTTAAGATGGAGTGACCACCTCTGGAAACCTAGGCTGCATATCTTAAGCCAGAGGGGGAGCGGCCTCTGAGCTGACCTGGTGGCCTGGTGGCCCCTAGAGTGTGGGTGACGGCCCCTCAACCCCGCGCCCCAGTGGCTCACCGTCTGGCATTGCGCGCTTGACCCGGGGACTTGGAGCGGATCGCCCGGATTTGTTCCTTTCAGGTATCTTACCTGTTTGCGGGCCGCTGCCTTCTCTGTAGTAGCTGCTCGGCAGAGGGGTCCGGTGGACGGCTTCTCACTCACAGTGTGCTCTGACAGGCACGGGTTTTGCTTCTTGACAACATACCTGACTGCTCCTTGTTTCTCCTGCCATTTTTCCCTGAACAGACCATTTTGCTTCCCATGTCATACAGCACGCACGTTTAAAGTCGCCCGAAATCCTTTTCAGAGCAACGGGAGGTCCACAAGCCATGGCGGTGACATTCATGACCTGCTGGCGGTGCCCTCCTTCCCATCCCAGGGGACGGGATTCCCTGTGGCCTGCAAGTCCGCACGCAGAGCCGCTCTCACCTCCCTCTGTCCTGGGCCCGGGGGAGTCGCCGCCCTGGTGAGACCGCGGCCTGCCGTTACCGCACACTCGGGACACTAAGGATGAGCCCTCGGTGACTTCTTTGCTGGCAGTTGTCTGGAATAGCGTGTGTCCTTTCAGGAGCCTCTGAGAGGAGTCTCCGAAACCGCGCGCTCTCCCTTGTGGTCCGGAAGTCGGGCGGCCCCCCGGGCCCAGATCGGGCGGCGGCGAGGGGTGTTCGGGGCTCTGCTGGTGGGTGGTCGCGGTGTGTGGGGAGGGCGCCCCTCGTGCGCCGGCCCGCCGCTACCTGCGGCCAGTGTGGGGTCTCGGCGCGATGACGGCCGCTGCCCCCAACACGCGGCACCGCGCAGGGGCCTCGCCAGAGCCGCTGAGTCGGAGGTTTATGTCACACTTCACGGGGCACGAGGTGTTCTGCAGTCATGGTCTCTTGTGCTGTCCCCAAGTCCTGCAAGTTAAAAATGACGGGTCATCACCAAACGTTAACACGAGGAACCAGACCCCTGATGTGAACTGAAGGCGGCAGAGTCAGAGCCCGCTCCGAGATCGTCCGTTCCGTCGCGTCCACTGTGCCGCGGTCCAGGGCGGGCGCCTTGTGCGGGTGCTGCTGTCTGGTGATGACTCGTCGTTAGGCCTGTCTCCCGTGTTTGTTATCCCCCCCCGCCCCCGCGTAGCGCGTTCTAGTGGGAGACGGAGAATCAGCGTCGGGGATGGCTTGCAGTTATTTCGAGCATCTGTGTGTTGTCCAAGCCCCCGTGAGAGGAGAGCACCAAACGTGTTTTTGGTCGGCTGCTTAGCATTGTGTCTTTGCGGCTGATGGGGCTCATTGTCCTTGTCGTCTTGCATGTCGTGGTGACATCCGTGCAGGTGCCACACGGCAGTATTCCTGTCCTTGCGCATCTGTTGATCCCTGAGAGCAGAGCCGGCTCCTAACTTCTGGCTGACCAGGAGGATCAGGAGGCGCCACAATAACCATATCAAGCAGGACAGCCTTGTCCGAAGAGCTGTGGCAAAAGGAAGTAAAACGGACTCAGTGTTGGATA